AACTTCTTCACTAAACTCAAGAATATTTCTCAAAATGCTATGGCTAAAGATATGTGAGAGAAAGAGAAATAATTCAAAGAGAGATTAAGAGAGATAGAAAGGTGGTATATCTCCTATTTTCTGATTATTTAGAAATGAAGAGCCACTACCGACCTCACCAAATGAGTTATTTGGTCGGTAAGAGAACCTAGAACATTAAGAGGAATCAAGGCATCCCTTACCCTACTAAGAGAGATAGAAGATATCCCTAATTCTTGCATCTACTTATCTCGTTTAAGCTTCAGATTGTGAACACTCTCCTTCAGCTGTTGCTTCTCTATTTATATGACAAAATCGTTGGTTAATCGTCTCAACCTGAAGCAAGATTTGTATTCGTTCAAGATGAGTGAAGACAAAGTCTTGGAAGAGCAACTGGATACGTTTAACAAGTTGATTCTTGATCTTGAGAATATCGAGGTCAAGATTGATGATGAAGATGTCGTTGACCTTTGAAGATGTTCAACTTGCCTTGTACTCTAAGGATTTGATCAAGAAAAAGGAGCACAAGCCATCTTCTGTTGGTGAAAGTTTTTCCGCTAAGAGGAAATTCTTGAAGAAAGATGGTAGGTTTAAGAAGAAGGGTAAAGTTCTAAAAATTTCTTATGCTGGTAATGCTCCTACTATTAAGAGTTATCATTGTAAGAAGGAGGGCCATATAAGAAAAGTATGTCCTGATCGACTGAACAATTATGGTGGAAAGAACAATGGTAATGCAGCCATTATGCAAGATGGTTATGAATCATCTGATGTCCGGGTGGTTTCAAGAAGTGACTCTAGAAAGGAGTGGATTATGGATTCACGGTGTACTTGACATATGACTCCAAACAAAGACGTGTTTGAAGAATTATGTGATCAAGATGGTGGACCAGTGTTGCTGGGAAACAACAAAGCTTGCAAAATTGCGGGTATTGGATCTGTGAGATTCAAACTTCATGATGAGTCAATAAGGTTATTGGTTGATGTTAGGTATGTACCTGATCTTAAAAAGAATTTTATTTCTCTTGGAAAAATCGACAAGAAAGGATATGTTTTCAAAGTAGAGCAAAACAACCTAAGGGTAACGAAAGGGTCAAAGTAAGTCTTAAGAGGCGTGAAGAAACAAGACTTGTATACCCTTGAGGTTGAGGTTGTAAGTAGTTCAGCAGATGTGGCATCTACAAAACCTGTATCAAATACTGAGTTATGACACAAGAGACTTGGACATGTCAGTGAAAGAGGTCTGGTCGAATTTCCGAAATAAAATATGTTGGGTGGTAACAAGGTCGAAAAACTTGATTTTTATGAACCTTGTATATTTGGTAAATCCTGTAGAATGAACTTTAATAAAGGTAAACAAAGAATACATGGATCCCTTGATTACATTCATGCTAATCTTTTGGGGCCTGCAAAAAATCCTTCACACTTAGGTGCAAAGTATTTTCTATTCATAGTTGACGATACTCTAGAAAGTTATGTGTATTCATCCAGAAGACTAAGGGTGAAAGTTTTGAAAAGTTTAAAAGTTGGAAGACTCGAGTCGAAAACCAAACTAGCAAGAAGGTCAAAGAGGTTGAGGACTGACAATGGTCTTGAATTTTGCAATGAGGCTTTTGACATCTATTATGCTGCGTATGGTATTACAAGGCACAAAAGTATTGCAGGGACTCTCCAATAAAATGGTTTGGCTGAAAGGTTTAATCGAACCATTCTGGAAAGGGTGAGGTGCATGTTGGTAAGTGGAGGATTGAAGAAGGTGTTTTGGGCAGAAGTTGTTGCGAATGCAACATACTTGATAAATGGGTGTCCCTCGATAGCCTTGGGAATGAGGACACCTGAAAAAGTCTGGTCGGGACATCCACCTAGTCTCAACAGACTTAGAGTATTTGGTTGTTTAGCCTATGCTCATATTTGTCAAGACAAGGTTGAACCTAGAGCTCTTAGATGTATGTTCCTCAGATACCCTGAAGGAGTCAAAGCTTATAGGCTATGGTGCATAGAGCCAGGTTACAAAAGGTGTATCACAAGTTAAGATGTATTTTTCGATGAAGCTGAGATGACTTTCAAGAAAACAAATGACATTGGTCGAAGTTAGAAGATCTCTGAAGAAGATCTGGAACAGGATGAGATTCATGTTGAAGTGAAGCATATTGATGTTGAATTGCATGACCTAGCTGAAGTCGAAGAAGAAGCAGAAGCTGATTTCGAAGATAAAGAGACTGATAATGACTACCTGCTGGCAATAGATAGGTTGAGAAGAGTCATCAAGCCACCTCAGAGACTTGGTTATGCAGATCTCATAGCTTATGCCTTAATATCTGCAAGTGAGGTTCTTGACGAAGAACCTAGAGACTATAAGGAAGTTATGAGGAGTTGAGATAAAACTGAATGACTGAAATCCATGGATGATGAGATGAAATCTCTCTATGATAATAACACTTGGGAGCTGATCGAGAAACTTGCAGGGGCCATGTTAGTCAGTGTAAGTGGATCTTCAAGGTTAAGGAAGGAATCAAATGAGTGATGTCGAAACGTTTTAAGGCAACGTTGGTGGGTAAAGGGTTCACTAAGAAAAAATGTGTCGACTTCAATAATGTGTTATCACGTATTGTAAGCCTAGATAAATAAGAATGTTATGAAGGTGAAGATTGAACTTGATAAGGAGTTCGACATGAAGGATCTGAGAGTTGCCTCCAGAATTCTTGGGATGGACAACTGGAGAGATAAAAAGCAGTCGAGGTTATGCTTATCTCAAGAGACATACCTGAAGAAGATTCTCGACAAGTTTGGTATGTCGAATTCAAATCGTTTTCTAACACCGACTAATCCTCAGTACAAGCTGAGTACGACTCAAAGTCCTAGTACTGAAGTCGAAAAATCCTATATGAATAGCATTCCATATGCTAGTATAATAGATTCTTTGATGTATGTTATGGTATATACGAGGCCAAACATATCATATAAAGTGATCCTTGTAAGCATATATGGTCAATCCTGGGAAGGCGCACTGACAAGCATTAAAATGGATTCTGAGGTACATAAATGGTCTCTAAGTCGAGTCCTAATTTATGGTAGAGCCTGTGGTGATGATAGCAAAGTTGAAATCAAAGGATTTGTCGACTCTGATTATGCAGGTTGTATGGATTCTAAAAAATCTATTTCTAGATATGTGTTCACTATGTTTGACACATCAGTTAGTTGGAAAGAAACACTTCAGAAGGTTGTTGCCTTATCAACCACTGAAGTAGAGTATATCGCCCTCACTGAAGCTGTGAAAGAAGCATTGTGGCTTAAAGGTTTTGCTAAGGAGCTGAAACTTCAAGGTCGAGTTATCACTGTTAAATGTGATAGTCAAAGTGCAATACACCTGTCGAAGAACTCAGCCTATCATGAATGAATCAAGCACATTGATGTGAGGTTTCACTTCGTCATAGGGATAATCGAGCGCAGAGAAGTCCAAGTACTAAAGGTTTTGACTGATGACAATGGTGCCGATATGATCACCAAGACATTGCTAAGTAGCAAGTTTTTCTACTGTATGCAATTGATAAAGCTGCATGACTAAAGCTAGTTTGTTCCCTTGTTATAGAATTTGTTCCAAGATGGAGATTTGTGGTATTTGGATCGAACTCTAGTGTTGATAAGGGTAGCTTCATAGTTCGTCAGGAGTTGTGTATGTTGTAGTCGAAGTCTGTTCGAGCATAATGTCGAAATATATTAACTTGTAATTTAAGTTAGTATGTCGAATTAGACCTCTCAGGTTGTTGAGGGAGGTTAATTGTTGGTATTCACTTGTAACCTTTGAACCCTTATTGAGAAAGTGAATAGTAAAACAGTTTTAACCAATTCTTATTCTTCTTCCTTCTTCTCTATCTCTTGTAAAACCTAATAGAGTTTCTTGTGTTTGTTCAAGAAACTCAATCTTTTTCTCATATTTTAATTTGTTCTTGACGACATCAATTCACAATAATATACATAAAGAACTAAGCTACATAGTTTTGATATCAATCAAAACACATATCTAAGAGTATAGTACATTCACAATGAGGTCTTTGGCGACAATTTTTTATAGGGTGGGCCGGATTGGGGCAAATGATTTTGTCTGCGGTGGTTGTGTGTCGAAAATTCGTCAAAATCAATGACGGTGGTGGTTGCATGTGGTGCTAATCGGAGGGTTACGAAAAAAAACTAATATTAGAGTGATTCATAGATTAAGACACGATTTACTAGAAAAAAAATCTCATATAAAAATAATGTATCAACCAAATAAAGTATGATCAAAGACTAACTCTCAATAGACTTAAAATATAAAAAAATTAAAAATATAAAAAAAAAAAAACTAAGAGATATTTGGATTAATTATATTTTAGAAAGTACTTTTTTATATATCCAAAGATTACAGCAAATTACAGATATAGTCTGATGTTAGACTATTCCATACAAATATTCTAGAAGACTATATATTATAAATATCAACAAGTATTAAAAGATTACTTCTAGATATTTTCTCAACTAATATGCTTAGACCTAATGAAGATATCACCTGAGTCGTTGGTATAAATAATATCTTAAAAATATATTTGACTTAATTACTTTAATATAAATTTAGTGAGAAAATTTTCCTCCTTGACTATATATATATTTTTAATTAAATATTCAATATCGTATACTTTAAAGAAGTAAAATAAAAACTTCAAAATACTGATCCTAAGGATTAAAGAAGGTTTTAACAAAGGCCGGGTTAGCTCCATTTTCACCATCTCCAATTTTGCTGATTTTCGGTTGCAGCAACGTTTCCTCTTCTTCAACTTGCAATCCTCTATATCCTGGTAAATTGATCCATTCAACTTTTGTTAATCACTTCTTTCTCGTTAATCTAAGTGTTCGATCAAATAATCTGGCCAAATTATTGAGGTTGAGGATACTTTATTTTTCACCAATTTCAATTTTAATACTCATTTCAGCAATTATACTCAAGGAAAACAATGGATTCTGCACCTCTTCCCAGCATTGATAAACTTAGAGACGACTTTATTTGCACAGTAAGTATAAGATGAGGCTTGTGATTAGTCTTTCATAAACTTTTATTATTTTTATATTTTCTTTTACTTTTAACAGATTTGTTTGAATATATTCTTTGAGCCTGTCACCATATCTTGCGGTCACAGCTTTTGTAAGAAATGTTTGGTTGTTGCTATGGACAAGTATAAGAAAAATTGCCTGGTTTGCAGACAGTGGGTTAACATAAGGTTTATGTTTATAAAGTTTTGAAATTTATAGAATCACTTTTTTTTTAACAAATATAGTAGTTATTGTTAATTGTGTTTTCAACTGTTAAATTTTGTTTATGCAAATTTTTCTTTGACAATGATGTTACATACTCTTATGATATTTAGGGCATTGTTTGAATGATGTTTAGTTTTTGACAATTACTTTAGTAAATTAAATTTAAAAGCCTGTTTTGAATAATAAGTTTGTTAATTTTGTTGTAAAAAAGTGTTTTTAGATAAAAAAAAACTTGATTTATATGTGCAGTTTTTATATTTGTATAATAATTTTCTTTTAATATATCTCATTTTAGTTTAGATATAATTCAAAATATTTATAGTACAATATTTATTATATTAATCTTAAATGTGTACTAATATTTTTATAATATTTTTGAATTAATTATATTTATATATGTAGTGTGGATATTAAAATACATATACTCATATTTAATTCACTACTATATTTTACATTAATTACATTTATATTTGTAGTGAAGGTGTGATTGATAATCGAACACAACATAATCAATATTATAAATGTTAAATAATTATAGATAATTATTATTATAAATGTCAATTAACTATATATTTGACTATCATTTAACATATACTATTAAGTACGTGTAATTATCCAGTATTTTAGAAACATTCTAAGGTTACTGTTTTTAACATATGATATAAATAAGTTAACTATTTTTTCCGTATATTAAAATAAATTAACATGTTGTTGTACTTTATCATTTTATGTAGTGTTGGATGCTGTTTAATTTTTTAAAATTCAAATAACACTTCTCATATTATTTTTTACTTTGAAATTATAAATACTTTTCTCTTAAATATGTTCAAATTGAAAGTCATAAAATAAATTGTTAATATTCAATATGTCTAATACATGGAAAATCCTAAAATGCCTCTATAAAAAAACAAGATTTTGTCAAAAGAATAAATCTACTAGAAATGTTCTGATTTCCTGCGGATTTACCTGCGGATTATGACCAAATTTTCGCAGGAAACACGTTACCTGCGATTTTTCCTGCGATTTTTTGTTTCCAGCTAAAACCTTCGTGGGTAATACATTTAGTAGGTAAAGTCGCAGGAAAAGTCGCAGGTAAAAGTCGCAGGAAAAAGTCACAGTAATATGTCGCAGGAACAGGTTGCAGGTATAACAGCTAAACTCGCAGGTAACATCGCAACAAATTGAGAATCCGCAGGTAAGTTCACTCATGTGTTTAGTTTTTTTTAGTTGTGTTTAATTCATATTTAAAATAATATAATTGATGTTAAATATCAAAGTAACAATAATATAAAAATAAAAATCTAATTTGAATAAGTCAATGCAACACTAATTACATTCAAATTTTTAAAGTCAATAACAAGTACTTCTAGAGTTACATTAATAAAAATGTTGTAATCAAGTTACTAATTATCACATGTCCAACCAAATTAATAAGAAAAAAATGCAATTTCAAACTAATTAACAAGAAAAAGTAATCCAAATTAAAATTCACTACTAATGTGTTCACTAATGTCTTCATCTGATTCATCAACATCATCTTCACTTTGATTATTAATTTTATTATTGGCTTGAGGTGGATGAGAAGAAGATACAGCAAATCCTAAATGATTCATTAAGAATGAAAGTTTATTGTTCGTTTCAATCATCTCTTTTTCTTGTCGTTGCAATTGTTGCTTCATCTCCAACTTCTCTTGTTCTTGTCTTTGCAATGATGCATTGAGAGCATGGACTTGACTTCTCATATCATCAACCGCTTGAGAGTTACTCGAAAGACTTTGTTGAGTTGATGATGGAACAAGAGTCTTGGCAATGGTTCCAAGACCGAATACCCTCCCTTTCTTCTTTCCAAATGACTCCGCCCATATATCCAAATCAGACGGCATTTCAACCGTAGGTTGACTATCAGCTTCATCCTCTCCTGGAACAGTTGAATTTTGAGAAGAAATCATCAACTTTTTCCTTTCAAATTCATCCTGAAAGAAGATTTAAAAAAACATAATAAGTAATTAATATTTTACCAGGAAATTCCAAACTAGTGCTAATCGTCATAATAAAAATTCAACTAAATGAACTAGCAATTCATTCACATAACATTAACGGAAGAAACTCATAATTGCTCGTTGCTAACATTAACTCTAACCAATTTCCCAACATATTTTTATTTGATTTGATTATAAATTGCAAAACACAGAGAAAAAGAATGAAGGTATGGTTTACACTTTCTAAGATTCATTCTTTAAGAAATTGATTTGGAGTACTTACATATGCAGATTCAGCGTGAACACCCACCCAACTTTGATCCTTTTTTCGATGAGTGTGAAAATAAAATTCAGTCAATGATGGATCGGCACCCTTTTCCTTTTTCTATCAATTACAAAATAATAATGTCATTTATTATAAATACTAATTTATGAAATATAAAGAAAAATGATAATACCATTCTTTTCCAATGCAAACGATGAGGAATAGATCCTCCAGTGTGAAGAGATGCACCATCCATAGAACAACAATTTCTTTTATTTGTTGCAGATACTTTTTTGAACTTGGAGGAATTCCAATGTACCGTTAGTTTCTTCCACACCTCCTCTATCCATTCCGGCCTATACTCTAAATCTCTCCAAACATCTTGCATTAATTGAGACATCTTAGCTGCACTTCTGTTTTCAAAGTTGCGACGCACTGTAACCTTGTGCTCGGGTGGCCATGTAAACTTTTGTTGTATTAAAAAAACATGAATCAATTACTTAATATTTCAATATGCTTCTAACATGAAGCCCCATCTTTAGATTTAATTACCTTAAATAGATCAAAGAAAGAATCTCGTTGCTCTTTTGATAATTTCTTCCATGACGGTTTTCCCTCATTCAAATGAGTACGTATGATGTGAGCAATTTCTGAAACTACCAATTTATGATGATCAAATATGAAAAAGAGACATTTAAAAAAAACAAATATTACTTAAATGGAGAAAATAATGTTACATATAAAATATAGTATCTTTTATTAGCTATTATATACGAGTAAGAGACTCACCCATCACCTTCGGGAACTATTGAGATTCTAGTTCCAACGGTGTCTCCACTAGCATGGCTAGATGAAGATGAGGCTTCAACGACCATAAATTGAGAAGGGATGGGTCGAGATCGATGTTGTGATTGAGGTTGATTGGGTTGAGAAGGAATGGGTCGAGATTGAGGTTGATTTTGAGATTGAGGTTGATTAGGTTGAGGTTGATTGTGTTGGGGTTGAGTTTGTAAAGGGTGAGATTGGGTGGATTGAGGACGAGGTTGAGGTTGATTGTGTTGGGGTTGAGTTTGTAAAGGGTGAGATTGAGGACGAGGTTGATTAGGTTGAGGTTGAGGTTGATTGTGTTGGGGTTGAGTTTGTAAAGGGTGAGATTGGGTGGATTGAGGACGAGGTTGATTAGGTTGAGGTTGAGGTTGATTGTGTTGGGGTTGAGTTTGTAAAGGGTGAGATTGGGTGGATTGAGGACGAGGTTGATTTTGAGGTTGAGGTTGATTGTGTTGAGGTTAAGAATAATGCGATTGGGATATAGATCTAGATGGTGGTCGAGTGAGTTGAGGTCGAATTGGATGTGGAATAGGTTGTGGTTGTGGTCGGAGTTGAGTGAGTTTAGACCTACTTGAATGTGGAATAGGTTGGGGTTGAGGTTGAGTATGATATTGAGTGAGTTGAGGTTGAGTGAGATAAGGAATAGGTTGGATTTGAGGTTGAATGAGATGAGGAATAGGTTGGGGTTTAGATTGAGTGAGTTGAGGTTGAGTAAGTTGGGGTTGAATAAGATGAGGAAGATGTTGGGGTTGAATGACTTCATGTTGAGTAGATATATAACCTTTTCCATAATTCTTCTTCTTGGACTTTTTAAGTGACTTCATCTTGCAAGAATTTAAAGAAATACAAACCCTAAAAAATAAGAGTGAAAAATCAAAATAATATTAGTAACAAAATAATATTGGTAATTGCTTTATGAATGGTAAATAGATTAATGAGTTATCTGCTGCATGCCTAAGAAAGACAAGGTTCTTTATATAAATTATATCTGCTCAGAATAATAAAAAGAGTATGAATTTTGTATCATACTTTAGTTATGGTCCTCTCTTCTTCTTCTGATATGTCTATGCAGCTACTTTTGTCAGAGTGTTATGTTGGTGTTCAATAATGACAGCTTCCTCCATTCTTCTACTGCAAAATGCAAGACAAAAGTAAAACAATTAAATGTATTTACAACTAAGCTGATATAAAGTAAAAACTCTTCAAGACAAGTACCAATTTGAATATCTTGATTTGTTACTGTTAAAGTGACCAGGATGAAAAAACCAAAAACAAAAATTAGATTAATAAATATGCCAAGATTGGAAATCAGAACCAAATTTCAACAATAACAACTTCCATCAATGCAAAATATAAGGCAATGTTCAACCCCACTTCTCTAATAACCAAATATATCCCCTTAAGAACATAAACAAACTCTTAATAATAAAAACTCACAATCCACCCTGCCTACATATTACCAGATAACAGTAACAAATCAAGATATTCAAATTAATACTTGTCTTGAAGAGTTTTTTTCCCCTATCAAAGAAAAATGCAACAAGATTCACCCTTTTAGTTCAGTCATTTCAGCAAACAATTGAACCACTATACGTTTATAGTCCCACCATACAACAGAACAAGAAGACTAACTTGGATTTTTAATGTAAGTGACATAACAGATACGTAATAATCAGCAACTTTAATATCTCGGTATTTCCCTGAAGAAATGTCGAGCTAAGGAAATCAAAAGTTCCTTGTAGCAACCATTATATCTACTACTATAACTTCTACAATACTCAGCAAAATTTTATATTATTGAGTCACTTGCTATATCATCCATGAAACAAGTATTTCTATGAGAAGATAACCAAGTTGATACCATCTTATTATTCTCATTCTTTTCTGCTATGGCAAGAATTATGAACTTCAAG